AAAAAAGGTGGGATACTCTGAGGTTCAGTGTGGACTTGTTGGGCCGAAGGGCCTGTTTCCATACTGTAGGGATTCTGTTAAGTCTATGAAGACACAAAAATTGGTGGTATTGTTGATATTGGTCTTGGGCTGCAGTACAATATTGATCAGCTAGTAAATGGCAGAGCAGAGCAATGACAGATGGATGAGTGCAATGTGATGTATTTTGGGAGGTCTAATGAGGGAAGAATATACACAACAGTAGATTCCTTGGGAGTACTGAGGAACAAAGGGCCCTTGGTGTAGCAGTCCACAAGTACTTGAAAGTGATAACACAAATAGACAGGGTGGTGACGAAGGCATATGGATGCTTGCCTTCATTAGCCGGGGCATAGAATACAGGAGAAAGGAAGGCTCGTTACAAACTTATAAAACATTGGTTAGGCTGCGGATGAAATTAGTATACAGTTCTGGTTGTCACACTATCAGAAGGATGTGATGCACTGGCGAGTGCATGGTGGGTCAAAGGGTCTGTTTCTTTGCTGTATAACTCTAGCAGTACAGCCGCAAAATAACATTCAGTACACAGTATAGATTATTATAGACCAACCTGTGTGAAATCCATGTTTTAGAGTATTTTGTAAAACGTTGTCATTTCGCTAGCAAGCAAAACTCTCCAATCTTTAAAATGCCTCTCTCATTGATTTATACCTCAGATAACCATACATGATCATTGCACATTGTCATTTTCCCTGCTGCACATTACTCAATATAAAGCTGACACACACCCCACTGCAAATTTCTACTTAAAAATCATGCATTTTAACACAGCCTATTCTTAGACTCTGGAGCAACCACATTTCTGTTAATTTCTCTTTTAGGGTTTGAGACTACAGGAAATTTATGAAGCTTCCTCCCATGCATTCCACTCTGTTTCAGAGAGATTCCAAAGTACAGGCAAGGCAAGGAAGGGTTGGACATTTCTCGGACTTAGTGGCACTGTGAGGTGCATTTTCTGAGGGGAGAGTTTGGGAGGAACTGTATTGCATGTGATGTGGCCACTGTGTGGTGGTGGTGGTGGATAAGGGGTATATTTGTGGTGCCAATCAAGTGGGCTGTTTTACACTGTATTGGTAAGCTGCTTGAGCACTGCTGAAGTTGCATTCATCAAGTAGAGATTATTCCATCCCACACCTGATGTACGCGTTGAAAATCACTCACTCTGATGGGATTATACTATAGCACCCTAAATGAGTACTTTACATTGGTATTCACCAAGAAAAAGGACATGGAGGATAGTGAGATTATTGTGGGGCATGCTAACATGTTAGGACATTTTGAAGTCCAGAAAGAAGTGGTGTTGGTCCCTTGAAGAGCATTATGATGGATAAGTCCCCAGGCCCAATTGGATCTGCCCTAGGTTATTGGAAGAGGCAAGAGAAAAGATTGCTGGGGTCTTGACCAAGATGATTGTATCCTCTCTAGCCACTGGAGAGGTCCTGGAGGACTGGTGAGTAGCTATTGTTGTTCCTCTGTTCAAGAAGAGAAATAGGGATAATCATGGAAATTATAGATCGGTTGGTGTCATATTGGTAGTTGGAAGCTATTGGAAGGATAGGATTTACGCGCATTTGGAAAAGTATGGCCTAATTTGGGGCAGCATGATCGCTCAGTGGTTAGCACTGCTGCCTCACAGCACCAGGGGCCCAGGTTCAATTCCACTCTCGGGTGACTGTCTGTGTGGAGTTTGCACATTCTCCCCGTGTCTGCGTGGGTTTCCTCCGGGTACTCTGGTTTCCTCCCACAGTCCAAAGATGGGCAGGCTAGGTGGATTTGTCATGCTAAATTGCCCATAGTGTTGAGGGATGTGTAAATCAGGTGGCTTATAGAGGAATGGATCTGGGTGGGATACTCTGAGAGTCGGTGTGGACTTGTTGGGCTGAAGGGCTTGTTTCTACACTGTAGGAATTCTATATTCATAGAAATCATAGAATCATAGAATCCCTACAGTGTGGAAACAACAGGCCATTCGGCCCAACAAGTCCACACTGCCCCTCCGAAGAGCAACCCACCCAGACCCATTCGCCTACCTCTACCCCTACAACATTCCCTTGTCTAACCCACCAGTTCTAAGTCTAAGTCTAATTAGGGACAGCCTGCATGGCTTTGTGTGGTGCAGGTCGTGTCTTAGTAACTTGATTGGTTTTTTTTATGAGGAGGTAATGAGAGCGATCAATGAGGATAGTGCAGTGGATGTTGCTCACACGGATTTTAGTAAAGCTTTCAACAAGATCCCTCTTGGTAAGCTCATTGAGAAGCGTAAGATGCATGAGATTCATGGTGACTAGACATTTGGATTCAGAATTGGCTTGCCCATAGAAGACAGAAGGTAGTCGTCGAAGGGTGTTTTTCTGGCTGGAGGTCTGTGACCAGTGGTGTTCTGCAGGGATCTGTACTGGGACCTCCGCTGTTTGCGATTTATATAAATGACTTGGATGAAAACATAGATGGGTGGTTGAGTAAATTTTGCAGATGACAAAGATCAGGGGACTTGTGGATAATGTAAAAGGTTGTCAAAGGATACAGCAGACTATGGATCAGTTGCAGATATTGGCGAAGAAATGGCAAATGGAGTTTAATCTGGGCGAGTGTGAAGTGTTGCACTTTGGGAAATCAAATGTTATGGGAAAGTGTATAGTTAATAGCAGTACTGTATCCTTAATAGCATTAGTACAGAGGGATCCTGGGGTCCTAGTCCATAACTCCCTGAAAGTGGCCACACAAGTAGATAGGGTGGTAAAGAAGACATATGGAATGCTTATTGATCAGGACATTGAATACAAGAGTCAGGATGTCATGTTGCAGCTTTATAAGACTTTCATTAGGCTGTAATGCATTAGAGTAATGCATTACAAGAAGAATGTGGAGGCTTTGGAGAGGGTGCAGAAGAGGTTTACCAGGATGCTGCCTGGATGAGAGGATATGAGCTATAAGGAGAGGTGGGCAAATTAGAAGGGTTGTTTTCTTTGGAGAAGTGAAGGCTGACGGGAGACCTGATAGAAGTTTATAAAATTATGAGAAACAGATAGAGTTGACAGTCAAAATCTTTTTCCTAGAGTTGAAATGCTTAATACTGAAGGGCATGTATTTAAGGTAAGAAGGGGAATGTTCAAAGGAGATGTGGAGGGCAAGTTTTTTTACACAGAGTGGTAGAGGCCTAGAATGCCCTGCCAGGGATATTGGCAGAGGCAGATATGATGGGGGTGTTTAAGGGGCTTTTAGATAAGCACATGAATAAGCTCAGAATGGAGCGAAATGGACTGTGGGCAGGCAGAAGGGATTAGTTTAATTTGGCATCATGTTTGCTACATGGTGGGCTAAAGGGCCTGTTCCTGTGCTGTACAGTTCGATGTTCTAAAAGCATGACCTAACTTGCGCATTTGAAGTGGAAAATGACTTGAATGAACTGCACCATTCTTTTACTTAAGTTCTTGTGCCCAAGCTTGAAGAGGACAGAAATTCCTCCAGTACCCTTGCCATATGTTAGCCTGTCATGGAATGTGTGGCATCTTCCTCATCCAACCTTCAGCTTAACATTGCAGGCATGTCTCAATGATGTAACCCAGATTTGATCTGCACATTTAAAACCCTGACTGTGATCCTCTTGCATGTTCAAAGAAGGTCAAAGTGATATCAAAAGAGAGGGATTAACTTGCAGTAATAATTTTATTGACCTGCCCCATTTTTTTAATGACCTGTCCCATTTTCACCAGGCAATAATAACAATTTATAATAAACTAATTCTTTTGATAATCAAAGTAAAGTTGTACAAAGTAAGGTTGGCACTGGATGGCCTGTTTCTGTGCCATATGTTCTATGTTGACCCTACATCAACCTAGTTAACTGACATTTACGTATGTTTCAACATACACTTTTAATAACTAAAAAACAATGGAAATTGTTGAAATAATAACAAAATGCTCAAAAATTTAGAAGTCACTGGATCTGAAATGTTAACTCTGATTTCTGTCCACAGATGCTACCAGACCTGCTGAGTTTTTCCAGCAATTGCTGTTTTTACTCAGAAATTTAGCGGATCTGGCAACATCTATGGAGAGTGAAACAGAGTTAACATTTTGAGTCTTTTGTTTTTATTTTGGAATGGATATCATTGAACTGGTTTCCTTATCTTCTAGAAACTACATAATTAATACGGAAAAGCATACTTTATTAAAAAATGAGGAATGAATTGATAATTTATGCGATCAAAGCAGGTTAAAGCGTTTCTTAAAATAAATCTTCACCATTTTTGTACCTTAGCTGCAGCTTGAAATAGAGAGCTTGATGTCATCGATTACAAAATATCAGAAGGCAAATTCTTGTTACTACAAGAAAAAGATGAAAGAACTAGATCAAAAACTGCATGATCAGCATCAACTGATAACTCATCAGAAGGAAGAGGTCAGAGCCATTCAAGTAAATCTTGCCTGTACCTGCTACACAAATGTATTAATTAGCTGGGAACTTCTTCCAATCTGTTTCAGTAGGGTCCTAGGATAATTCTGTACATGACCCAGAAATATCTTGCTGTGTGTTGGTGACAAGTCTGGCTACTTGGCTTTGATGACATAATATAAAGTGATGATTTCCTTTTGGCTGAGAAAAGTGAGCTTGATTTTGATCACGTACTGAGGCTTCCAAATATCTTAAGTTGCAAATAAAAGTTCAACATTTATTTTGAGTGGATCTAGCATTTTCTGTGTTCAATTTAGCTGCAGCGCAGTACATAGAACAGTACAGGAACTTTTGGCCCACCATGTCTGTGCTGACCATGATCTAATTCTAAACTCATCACACCTGCCTGCACGCTATCCATATCTTTCTATTCCCTATCTATTCATTCGTCTATTTAAATGCCTCTTAAATATTGCTATTGTATCTATTTCTACCACCTCCCCTGGCAGCGTGTTCCAGGCACTTACTACCCTCTGTGTTTTAAAAAAAATCTTGCCTCGCACATTTCCTTTAAACTTTGCCCCTCTCACCTTAAACCTATGTGCCCTAGTATATGACATTTTCTACCCTGGGAAAAAGACTCCGATAATCCACAGAAAGTTTACCAGGACATTGCCTGGTTTGAAGGGTATTAGCTATGAGGAGAGATTGAACAAACTTGTTTGCTTTTACTTGAATTTTGGAGGATGAGGGACGAACTGATTGAACATTACAAAATTAAGCAAGACATAGACAAAATTGAAGTCTTTTTTTCCCAAGGTGGAATTGTTAATTACTGGGGGACATAGGTTTAAAATAAAAGGGGGAAAAGATTAAAGGACATGTAACAGGCAAGTTCTTTTACACAAAGGGTGGTACGTGCCTGGAATACACTGCCAGAGGAGGTGGTAGAAGCGGGTACAATAGAAACGTGGACTACCTCAAAAACCTGAGATAACAAGGT